GTCATCCCATATTATATATATTCATGCCATCAGTTTTTATTGTTGGTTGTCCATGATCCATGTCTACCATTTATATTGATCTCGTCATCCGTAAAAGATAATAAAGAAGGTTAGATAAAATGTACGTTGGTGCTCGGCAAGTATGATCGGGTGCTAGTCATGGCCCTCCAGTTTGGGTCGTGACAGAACATACTGTGATCGGTACAAAATACTAAAGGAGATTGGCTTTTAAGGAAAGTATTTCGACTTGAACGATAACTGTTTCGAAGGACGAATTCCTCCCACGTTTGGCAGTTTTTCAAACATTGTGGAAATGTTAAGTGCACTTTGAGTTGTCATTATCAGTATGTGGGTTCATCCAGAGCTAAATATGATTTGTCATCGTTCACTTTAATTCAGATTGATTTCCTAAGTTCAAGTATATGTGATGTAGCTTGAATGGTTCTTTCTATATTGATAAATAATTTGCTTTATTGTGCATCTTCCCTAAGTATCAAACTTCTTCGGTTTTTGCATATCAATGTTTGAGACGTTTGATTAACATTGGAATTTTTAAGTTTTTGTGTCTTCACGTTTGAGAGTTTGAGTTTACATAACCGAGTAAACAAAGAATATTTGCAACATTTGAATTCATTTTACCGTCCAAGTTCTCAGGATCATGCTTAATTGTTATCTCTTAGTTACGGTTTTATGTTGGTTGAAATTAAGCAGTGACCAATCGTATTAGAATATGCATATGCAGAATTATCACTATTATGAATGATATGTGTTGGTCCAGACTGAAATCAATTCAAGGATTGAAAATAAAAAATAAATTGTCAGATGCCCGAAAATGTGAAATGTCGGGCCTGTGCTTTGCACGGGCTAAATCTATATAGTATTATAAGAAAGGAAATGGGGGTAGAAAGAGAATTCGATTTTTCCATGTGTTAATCTAAGATGCTACCATTGAAATGGAGATTAAAGGAGAAGGAAACCCTAGTCTTAGAGAGAACGAGAGAGAAGACTGAGACTTGAGCTAAATAAAATGAAAGTCTCATTGATTGGAAAATTACAGAGTAGTCCCCTCTAGTTATTTACAAATGTGTATAATTAAGACCGGACAAGGACTGGGTCCCTAAATGAAAGTAAAGCCCAAACACTAGTGGGCCCAATACGAAATGATCAGTCTGGATCTATTTTGGTTGGGCTTGGTACTTGGACTCCATCACCCCCTCAAGTAGGAGGGTGGGAACATACACAGCTTGGACAATAGCTAGTGATGAGTTGTGGAGATATGGTGAAGAGAGATTAAACCAGTGGAAAGGACATCACGAACATAATGACAATCAACCTCTATATGCTTGGTACGCTCGTAAAACACATGATTCTTAGCAATGTGAAGGGTAGCCTGACTATCACAATACACTGGGATAAGAGAATTGATCACCAAACCCATGTCACATAATAAACGAATCAGCTATGTCACCTTAGCAACCTTCCAGAGGGCTCGATATTCTGCTTCAGCAGAAGATAAAGAAACAGTCTGTTGTTTCTTAGATTTCCAAGAAATAGTAGAACCCCTAAGAACAATGTAGTAACCAGTCACAGACTTCCTAGAAAGTGGGCAAGCAACCCAATCTGAATCTGAGTAGGCCTATAAGGAGAAATCAGCTGTGTTGTTGAGCAGAATACCCTGAGAAGGAGCATTGAGAAGATACCTAAGGACATGTATATCAACCAACATGTGAGTCACCTTAGGAGAAACTAAGAACTGACTTAGATGTTGTACTGAGAAGGAGATATCCGGCCTGGTATGTTGGAGAAAATTCAACTTGCCAATGGGTCTCCTATACAATGATGGATTAGGAAGAGGATCTCCAACTTCAGAGGTGAGCTTGGCATGAGGATCAAGTGGAGTAAGAACAAGTTTCACATCAAGACAGTGAAATTCTTGGAGGAAATCCCTGGTATACTTGTACTAATTGACAACATAGCCTTGAGGGACCTTGGTGACTTTAAGGCCAAGAAGTAGTGGACAGAACCAAGATCCTTTATCTTAAAATGCTGATCTAGAAATGATTTCAGGGCATCCATTTCATCATAATCATTGCCAGCCAAGAGAATATAATTCATATAGATTGCCAAAAGAATGATGGAGGAAGCAGAAACCATGGAGAACAGGGAGGAGTCATTCTTGCTAGGAGAATACCCTCTGGAAATAAGAGAAGCAAACAGCTTGGCAAACCATTGTTTGGATGCTTTTTTGAGGCCATATAGTGATTTTCTTAATCTACAAGCCAAAGGAGGATCAGAAGGTATGGTATTGATAGTGAGGCCCAAGGGGATCTTCATGTAAACTTCTTCATGAAGGTCACCATGCAAAAATGTATTGTTGACATCTAATTGATGAACAACCCAATTGTGTTTGACAACAAGAGTGAGGAGGCATTTGATGGTGGTAATTTTGACTACAGGACTGAATGTTTCAGTGTAGTCAATGCCTTCTTATTGAGAATCTCCTCTAATGACCAATCTAGCTTTGTATCTTTCAATGGATCCATCACTTTTCTGTTTGACCTTATACACCCATTTGTAAGGAATGACCTTCTTGCCAGGTGGGAGAGGTACAATATTCCAAGTGTGATTGGCATCAAAGGCTTGGAATTCCTTTAGCATAGTTTCTTGCCAGACGAGGTGAAGTGCAGTTTGTTGAAAATACTGAGGTTCATGAAAAGGAGAAACAGGTGTGGACAATTTGGAAAGAGCAACATAGCTGGCAGAAATGCATATGTAATCTTTAAGATAGATGGGAGGATTGCTGGTTCTAGTGGAATGTCTAAGAGGTGCAGAAGTTGAAGAAGGTGCAGAAATAGAAGGAATAAGGGATACCTCAGTAGGAGGAGAAAACACAGTAGAAGAAAAGAGTGAAGAAGTTGGAGTAAGTGAAGAAGAATGATTAGTAAAAATAGGAGGTGAGGGATCACCAAAGAAAGTAGGAGTTGGTGTGGATACTGAGTAAGATGGAGGAACAACAGAAGGAGTAGAAGAGTGATAGGGAAAGATGTGATCATGAAAGATAACATCCTTGGAAAAAGTGATGGAATTATTGTCTAAGTTTAAGAGTTTGTAACCCTTTTGCCTAATGGATATCCTAGAAATACACATGGAGAAGCTCTAGGTTGAAATTTATCTCTCTTTATCTTTGGTAGGGTGGCATAACATAAACATCCAAAGGTCCTCAAATGATTATAAATGGGTGGATGACCATGAAAATTCTCATAGGGAGAGATATTCTGAATAATAGGGGAAGAAAACCTATTAATAAGATATGTGGTTGTTAAGACACAATCACTCCAGTACTTGACAAGAAGTTTGGACTGGAAAAGTAATGCTCGAGAAGTTTCTAAGAGATGTTTGTGTTTACTTTCAACCACCCCATTCTGCTGGGGAGTGTGAGGTATAGTAGTTTGATGTATGATACCAGACTCAGCAAAAAAAGAAGTAGCATGAGAACTTGATCCAAGTTCAAAAGCATTGTCTGATCTAAGTGTTTGAACAAATGTGTGAAATGAATTTTGACCATAAGAGTAAATGCTTTAATGATGTTGAATGCATTGCTTTTACAGGAAAGCAAATGAGTCCAGGTGACTCTAGAATAGTCATCCACAATAGTTAAAAAATATTTGAATCCATGATATGTTCTAGTATGATAGGGGCCCCACAAATCAACATGAACAAGTTGAAAATGGTGAGTAGATTTGATTGAACTATCTAGGAAGGGGAGTCTTTGCTATCTAGCTAAAGAACATACATAACATATAAAAAATTGCTTAGAAGACAGTTTATCAGACAAACAAGAAATAGATTTCATCTTAGAAAAAGGCATATGTCCTAATCTTTGATGCAAAAAAAAAATCAGCTTTATTACCTGAAGTAACATGATTACATGAGGTAGTGCAAGCACTGAATCACACCTAGGCAAAGAAGGAATGGCTGAAATGGTATTTACAGATGTATCAAGTTTAGAAGAAAATTGAATGACATACAACCTATTTGGTGCTCTACCAATTTTCAATGGCCTCTTCAGAGAAACGCCCTATATGAGACAAGAAAATTTGGTAAGGAGGCTGTATAACTGAATTGAGAAAATAATTGAGGAAGAGAGATGAGATTGAACTGAAAAGAAGGAACTAGAAGAACATCATACAAAGTAAAATCAGCACAAAGATTTAGAGAACCAGTGCATGTTACTTTTACTTTATAACCATTTGGGAGTGTTACCAAGAAAGGGAAGGGTAAAAGTTGAATGTTGTGTAAGAGGTGTTTGTGAGGTGTCATATGATTTGTTGCACCTGAATCTAGAATTCAAGTGTTCAATTTTAAATCTGAAACACAACACAAGGCAAGAGAATAAACAGCAAGGCTGCAGAATACACCTGCAAAGGCACCCATGACAGCATTGCTAGTGGGAGCTTCCTGGTTTGGTGAGGTTATGTGAGATTGTTGAAAGAGGTTGATCAAGTGTTGGTATTGCTCCTTGGTGAAATTATGAGCAGAAGCAGGTGTTATACCTTCAGAGGAGGATGATGAATCTGCTCTAAGTTCATCAACTTGAACACAGGCTACCGACCTTTTCCCTTTAGTGAATTATAAGTCCATTGGGAAGCCATGAAGTCTGTAACACTTGTCAACTGAATGTCCATGCTTATTACAATATTTGCAAATACTTGTCACCCTCTTGTTGTCAAAATTGACCTTCTGAGTGTAGACTTAATAGTGTTATTGTGCTGAGAAAGAACTGGTGGAGTAGGAGAGGTCTTGACAGAAAAAGCGGCAGACTCCGAGAGGAAGTTTGCTCCTGATGACTGAAGTTCTCTTTGATTTTCATCATTAAGGAGCATATAATAAGTCTTTCCTAGAGTAGGGACATGAGACATTATTAAGATATTGCTTCTGACATTGGAGTACATGTCATTGAGCCTAGTTAGGAAATGGATCAGTTTCTGCCCTTCACTACATTATGGCTCAGCCCCACATATGCAAGATGGACCAAAAGAGGCAGTTTTTAACTCATCCCACAGCTTCCTAAGCTTGGTGTAGTAACTAGCAATATCAGAAGATCCTTGAGAGACAGCAACAATCTCTCTTTGAATCTGATAGTACCTACTAGCATTAGACTGCCCATACATTTCCTCTATGTCTCTCCAAATCTCTCTTGCAGTGTCACAATGTAAGACACTATCAGCAATATCTTTAGACAAAGAATTACTTAACCATGCAAACACCATGTTGTTGCATCTCACCCACTGGTCATATAGAGGGGAATCATGTGATGACTGGGAGATTCTTCCATCGATCAACCCGGTCTTGTTCTTTGCAGAAAGTGCAATAAGAACATTTTTCTTCCAAGACACATAACCAGTTCCATTGAAGGTTACTGGTACAAGTAGACTTCCTGGATTATTAGATGGATGGACATATAAAAGATGTGAAGAGTCTATTGAGTGACTAATGGTGGAATCTACCGGAGAGGAGGTTGTTGCTGAGTCAATACTCATTTCTATGAACCAATCCTATAGTTCAACTAGCAGTCAAACGAATCTCACAAGAAATAACTGGAAGGATACGCATGCATCTAATTTCAACCTCAAATACGACTCGTAAATCAGCAAATAGTATCAGATACTCTCAAGCTAGGGCACATAACATAACATTGAAGAAAAAATCTTGAAGAAATGGAAGATATTACCAGCTTTATTTCAGTTAATCCAAGGAGAAGAGCCCGTGCATTATTTTTTCAAGAAAAAATTCCAGTTTTATCCAAAAATTGAAGTGCAAACAGTCCGTCGCCGACAAAATAAAACTCGACCAAAATGAAAAATTGAACCGTTGAATCGATAGAAGACATCGAGGCCTACGCGGATATATGCTCTGATATCATGTTAACCTAAGATGCTGCCATTGAAATGGAGATTAAAGGAGAAGGAAACCCTAGTCTTAGAGAGAACGAGAGAGAAGACTGAGACTTGAGCTAAATAAAATGAAAGTCTCATTGATTGGAAAAATTACAGAGTAGTCCTCTCTAATTATTTACAAATGTGTATAATTAAGACCGGACAAGGGCTGGGTCCCTAAATGAAAGTAAAGCCCAAACGCTAGTGGGCCCAATACGAAATGGTCAGCCTGGATCTGTTTTGGTTGGGCTTGGTACTTGGACTCCATCACCATGTGAACTATTAAGAGGGGTTAAAATCTTGAATGTTTATGCGATTAAGTGGCAATTATTAGGCTCGCAACAACTTGGAGGCATAACTTATTAACGCAAATTGAACGAACTTAATAGTACAATCAGCTTAAGTTGATTTATCATCTTATTTTAATGTTTGACATTCTTATTAATGTACAAATATAAAGATCAAATTTTAGGGTTGAACTTAAACTCTGTTCATATCAATTACGAATAATTTCAGAGATTTCCCTCCAGGTTTCGCCCTATCACACTGATCTCCCTTGTGGTTTACGATATTACATCTATTTTTTTATTTTGATTTTCTTGTAATCATTCTTTAAAGCTATTTAAAATAAATAAAAATAAAATATAATTTGATAGATTTGCCCTTTTTTAATATTAATTTCTTTCAATAAATTTCTTTAAAAGTAAAAAACGCATTTCCGAAAATTCTTATTCCTGTTCCTCTCCATTCGTAAGAAAATCAAAATACGGGAGGTAACCGTAATATCGTAAATTACATGGGAGGTCAATGTGATCGGGCGAAATTTAGAAGGAGGTTTCCGAAATTATCCGTACCGAGTAATATGACTTAATTAATTAAATTATACATGCAGTTTAAAAATTAAAGAGACACAAGTTAATCTTCTTTCAACCAATCAAATATTTTATAAGCAAATCATCAGGAAAAACGTTAAGACTTCATATTTCACATCTACAATTAAAACAATTCTCGACTTATTATTAGGAGATCGGAAGTTTACCTAAATATCAGTGTTGATTAAATTGACCAAAAAAGGGTCATATAATAAAATGGGACACAATTAAAAACATTATATTATGACCTATTTCTATGTCAATTTGCGACAGAAACCACGGTTCCCGCTTCGCATCTTGAATTGCTACACTTGTTCGACCAACAATTTAGCCACTCTAACGCTCATTTCAGAATGTCTTTCTCAATGCTCAAATCAGTACTGGTGAAAAATTAAATATAAATATTTTAAAAATATGTTTGATGGGTTCAACGAATTACCAAGTCGCCTACTTCGTAATAAAATTGGAAAAAGTTGAAGCTGGGCATAATTTAACGTTAAAGCCGATATCTATAATAACCATATTAACACCATCATCCTTCGAGGTTTGGTGGCTTCAATACCTAATACTCTTGTTTTTGGCTTCAAGACCTAATACTCAAGTGTATTGCAATAATATAACTTTGTAATACACTAGTCCATGTCAGCGCGGAATTCAAAAGAAGTTAATATCTATATATGTTAGACAGAGCTGATTATGTTACGTGTATTTTCTCTTGACATCTTCAATAGAAACTACGGCGGATTTATAAGGATAATTCATATTTTAATTATTGCTATTTCGACTGTTATGCTTTTGATGTGCAATTCCATTTTGAATAATAAAAACATGTAGTAGTATTCTTTTTAAAAAAAAAAGAGGATAAAAAAGAAAGAAGGAAAAAAAACAATTATACGTTGAGATATAAGAAATGCAGCACAATCTTATCCATGAGGTATTGTCTGCAGTGGCGGGAAAAAAGTGCTAAGTGGGAATTAATCCCTGTTTTTTTGATTAAATAATTAAGTATTAAATCAAGTGCATTATTCAACCTTTATGGAGCATGGTGCCAATACATAATACTAGAACAATTCTAGAAAATATGTACATAAAAAACCTAGTTTAGTGAATAGATCATGGATTCACGTGCTCGTAATATGGGTTATAGATCCGGCCCTGATTGTCTGTGTTTAATATAATGCATGTTTGTGTTGACAGTGAATATACGAATGATTTAACTAATTATATACATCAATAGCGTATAGGAATTTTATAGTATCACTATAGCAAGTTATTTATTGTATAAGATCGATGGTATATAAAAATTAAACACTGCCACTTTACAAAGAAAAACTAGTAATAAGTTAAACTGAATGTGTTAAACAAAGCACTGTTATGATCACACCAAGTTGTAAAGATAGCCAACAAACATTAGTTTTTTGAATTTTGAACTGGTCCCCTGTTTTTGCCCTCTGGCTACTTTTTCAACCAATAAAAAATCTAAATCTTCACCACCTTCTGATCTACTTCCTTCCCTCAGCTTCTTCATATAAAGAAAATTCTTAAAATTCACCAAACATAAGAGCTTTGTCCGTGGAGTTAAGTGCCTTATATCATCTTGATCAAATTTGAGTTGTAAAAATAAAACCCGACAAGAAACAATGAGAAAAGGGTCAAGAAAAATGTGGTGGGTGGTGCCATGTACAAGCAGATCAAAGAGCTTCAAGACTGAACCAATAGTGGACATTGAAGAGATATTGAAAATGAAACTCGAAACCATTAAAGAAGAGCCAGAAATCTATGAAGAAAATGGCAAGTTGACGAAGCCGCATCGGAGCAATAGTATGAGCAAGATAATAGTGAAGAAGATTCAGTTCAAAGTCAAGATAGGTCGCATTTTTTCGCCTCAATTTAGCCTTAAGGAATCGTATGTTTTGTTCATGACTGGTTTGGCTGCCAAAGGTGCGTTAAATGGTCTTCCTAGATATTAAGTTCGTACTAAGAAGATCATCATATATATATATATATATATATATATATATATATTTTGCTACATATATTTTGGTGGTTCAAGTATCTTCCTAAGTGGATGAATAGTTTAACATAATCTCTCTGGTTCTTTCGTTTTTTAATTAGTATCTGTAAATCTTGGTTACCGCGCGCTGTCATTAACATTGTGATCACTTACTTTTGCCGATTTTTAATTTAGCCTTCCCCAAGCCCCTCAATTTTGTTACATTTGTTGTCAAGTCCCTATAAGATTAATCAAGATTAGTTCTTCTTTGTTCTGCTAAAGATGCGTAGTGCGCAGTCGCACACCCAAATTACACCAGGAACCATTGGAAAGGCCTGCTAACTTTTATTTTTGTACAAGGATTCCCATCTGGCCATTACAGTATATATTTGCAAGTACTCAAATCAGTATATGCAAATACTAGTACTTTGGATGAAGTATTTTAATTTTCACTTATAAATATTCACTGTAAATTTGATTAAAAGAGAAGTTTAGTTTCAAACACAGTTTCAACTTTCAAAAAGTGTTATCAAATTTCAACTATAATTTTTCTTTTTTCAATATCAACTCAAATGTTTTCCAAACGCATTTGTGTGCTTGAATCTAAAATAAATACTTTGTTTATAGAATTTTAATTTAAGCTTCTTAAATTTCCTATCTCTCAATAAGGTTTTTGATAACAATAACTAAGGTATCGTATTGAAATAAATGGCTAATATTTTTTGAATATTGAAGCATGTATATAAATGGACTAATTAAACTTATGCTTCTATGATCAAGTCGGTCCTCCCATTGAATTGGGGGCAAATGCCTACAAAAAGAATCACTTAAATTTAAGAAAAAGGTCACACAAAAAGATCACGCCTACAAACGTCTTTTTCTTATGAAACTCAATACTGATGTTCATGCATTGGAACTGCGTTTGAAGAGGTAGGAGTAATAAGAGATCATCTCGGTAAACTCATCATGGCTTTCACATTGCCAATTGGGACATGGAACTAACAATTGGGCTAAAGTCTATTCATTCTTGTTTGGCGTAAAATGGTTCATTTAGAAGGGTATACTCTAGTCCTTGGTGAGACTGACTCATTACTACTACAGAGTTGCATCTCAGGAGCATCGACTACACCATGGAGATTGGAAGGGATTAAAGAGTTAAAGGATTTGGTGATAGGCATAGAGTGCTAACTAGACATTGTTACAAGGAAGCCGACAGACAAACTAGCTTCCCTAAGCTACAATACTGATATTGTTCAAATATATACTCATTTCAGTTCAATTCTGAGACAAGTTAGAGGTTTATTAAATACAGACATATGGCAACTACCATCTTTTCGAGTCAAGAAGAGAAAACTCGGGATGCACGTTTATGAGCCACCGTGAAGTACCAAAATTTTTATTTCATTTTCTTTTCATGTACTGCCTCATAGTTCAATAGTTTGTGTCTCTAAGTTACCATTTAGGGGTGGAAAAATGGATAAAAGAAAATAAGTAACCGCCCATATTATTCGTTAAAATGTGAGTTGGATAATGAACATTTTAATAAACAGATCAAATATGGATATTACCCATATTTTAAATGGGTAACCACCGGTTATCCGTCGGTAATAAAATCTTCCAAATTAGTGTGCCTAAGCATGTGATGGTGCCTTAAAGGAACAAATGTTTGCACATGGCAGAAAATTCATATTAGAGTTGAGGCGAACGTGAAGCCATGAATGGATAATACGATTAACCGT